ACGCCGAGCTCAGTTAGGCTCAACTCAGATTTTCGAACATGATTCACGGGCTCGTGTGCTCGTGTGCTACCGGTTTTTGCATTGCTTTTCATTACCATGAAACAGCCGTTTGTTCCCAGAGATGCTCCGGGAAGCACCAAATTGGTGTCCTTGAGGCTGAGACTGGCTTGTGATCATGGCCGCTGCTCTCCGCCGTGCGCTGATGCGCATGCCCCTTGAGGCTGCCACGACTCGTGGCTTGGCTCAGTGTTTCAGAGGATGTGTGCTGATCACCGAAAGGCAGCCAAGCCTGCGCCGGGTCCGCTGGCAGCTCGCAACTTCGCGTCGCAGCTGGCTAAGATCACTGGGCAGTTACAAGTTAGCCACCCCCTTGTGTTGATTGGCATGATTGTAGCTTTGCCTGACATATGCTTGCATCGAGAGTATTGGTGCAGCATTTTGACGCCTGTCATGAGGAAGGCAGCATCACCGGAAACTCCACTGATGCACTACACTGCAACGCAGCAGGCTGCCGTGCTGTTGAAGATTGTCACGCATGCTTGTGGGAATCATGTGTGACAGTCAAAGAAGGCCACAAACCCTTGCCGCCCATTCTTGCAACATTTTGTTGGCCCTAGTGTTGCAGAGTTCAGGATGATGGGTAGGGATGAACAGATAAACATCCAAAGCCAGATTGTGTTTGCGATTAGCAGGAGACCCCATTGATTGGCCCCTTCAGGCAACCAGCTCGATCAACCACCGCATCTTTTATGTCAATGTGGCCAGCCACTCAAAGTGCATTGCATGCAGAGCAGCGATTGGCAGTGGGGTAAAACACGTTGCTTTCGAAGTGAGACGTTTATATTCGGATCTGCTGGTACTTGTGTGATCTTTCACACACACACACACACACACGCACATCCGCACATCCGCACATGCACATGCACGCAGACAGACACAGACAAACACACACACACACAGAGATGCTTCAGACACTGCATCATCTTCCCTCTCGGCTGGTAATCAATTGTGTTGCAGACGGCCATGGTGTTGATCTATGACCTGGGCTCTTCCATGCTGGATTTCTGATGCATTCAGCCTGGATTTGGCAGTGTATAGCATCAAAGGAAGTGCTGACCAGCCGCGTTGATGACTTGATTTGCAGCCAAAAGAGGACACTCTTGGTGCTTTGCCGATGCGGCACTTGCAAGCGCACACAAGCGAACACTTTCGTCATCGGCTCTATGAGAGAAGGATCCGAGTCCGAATCTAGTAAGATTCTAGTAGCACGAATGAGCAAAGCAAAGAGACCTTGGGAGTTGATTGGATACTCTTTTCAGAAGCAAACACTGCAGAGACGATTTACACGTTTCAACCGGGACATTGGAAGCATTCGCTTGTGCCGCGCATCTCTCGCCCGATCTTGGTGCCAGCCTCGGTCTCAATCGGCATGGGACATGTGGAGCCAGTGAAACGAGCATTTTGTCGAATATGCCTGTGGTTCAAAACCAAAGGTACCATTTTGGGATAGGGGCACCACGCATTCTAGTCTATTTTAGTGAGGATTGGGATGTTCACTGGGGGTGCGGGCTTTTGACCTATGGCCATATAAGGGATAGGAATTCGTTGGCTGTCATTGGATGCTCATTCTCAACTTTTTCTTTTCCACACTTGTTGATCTGAGCTGCAGCATTTTTTGGGCTCTTTCAGAAAGTCTGACAGAAGCCATGCCTCGTTTGGCGGTTGCGGGTGTTGCAGCTGCCGCTGCCCTTGCAGTGGGTGCAGCCTTTGTAGTGGTTCCTGGCCGAGCCCCGACGCCGACAGTGCAAAGACCTCAGATCCTATGGCTGCCTTGCGAAGTAGCTGCTAAACTTTAAACGGAGGGCAGACATGGTGATCGGCCATTGCGAGGCCCCTGGCTTCCGGTGTGCGCGGATCAGCGGCCGAATCGGCCAGCTGGGGCTTGGCTGCTGCAGGTGGGTCTCAGTGAGTTGAATAAGGGGCAAAATAGCATCAAGAGCTCGGCTGTCCTGAAACTGAAATGCACAGGCCTTGCCCTGGGTGCGCACATGGGCTTGGCCGCTGCCTGGCGCGCTCGCTCCGCCACAGCTGCTCGCGCAGAGGGAGCCCAGCCCCCAGATCAGGTTCGGCCAAAGCAAGGCATGGAGGATTCACCAACTTCCCAGAAAAAGCAGAAGAAGAACATCACTTTTCGCATGCTCCTTTCCGATTAATCGCATATTTGGACCGTGGCTCAGATGAGAGCAGCGATCAGCGATTGTTTTTTTTGGCGTTTCTGATCATTGACTGCTACATGCCAAGGCTTACAAAGAGACGCCTGCCGATGAGCGCCTGTTTGAGCAGGACAGAATGGTAACCCATGTCTCGTTGGAGTGGTTTGATATTGCAGTGGTTTGGTAGATTTTGCAGAACCAGTTCTCTGCGGCGCAAAAAAAAGAACTTGGGGTGCGATGAACATCAATCTGTGTGAGAGGTGTACCTGCAGTACACCTCTGAGTACATGAAGGGGCCAATGTACTGGCACAAGGACAAGCTGTGCCTCGGCTTTGAGGGTAATTTGTCCTAGTGAGCAAGAGCTGGATCACCTCAAGCCTTGACCATTTGACTTTTGGCATCGCTTGGAACTCTCGTAACAGCTGGCCTCGGACGATTGCAGGCAGGGCTCCCTGCCAGACTACCCTGGACGCCCCATGATCAGGGACGGCAAGTACACCCCCTATGTCCTGGGGAACCTGAAGGACTGCATTGGGGTTAGAAGTGATTCTCAAGTGCTTCCTATGCTGACTTGCTGATATGCATCTTGACAATTGTGTCTCGCTTGCGAGTCCTTCAGCTCCAACGAGCTGGCGTTCTTGTCCATGCTCTTCTTCGGCGTTGGCCTGTACGGCAACCTGCAGCAACTTGCCTGGCATAGAATGCAGGACCGGTGCAAGCTGCAGAGGATTTGTGCCCGCATTCTTTGAGAGCCTCTGCCATCTAGTTGCCATGCAACTGCCAAGGTTCAACTACTATGACCCGCAGTGGGCCAAGGTTGATGCCGGCGGTTATTTCAACGTCTCCTACATTGTGGAGTCCCTGCTGCTGCCCATCTCCTTCTTCATGCACATCGCCTGCTACATCCAGAAGCAGAATGGCAAGTGAGCAAGCTGCAGAGGCGGGTTTCTAAACTGGAGCCCTTTTTTGATGCCTTCAAAAGAAGAGCTGGGCATCAAGGACGCCACTGGTGTTCAAAAAGGGCGATGCATGCTTGCAGGACGTGGTGATGGTTTTTGGTTTTGCGAGAATACACGTACAACGCATGTCCAGTCTCGAAGCTAGCTGCAGCATTTGTTAGGCTCTTTCAGAAAGTCTGACAGAAGCCATGCCTCGTTTGGCGGTTGCGGGTGTTGCAGCTGCGGCTGCCCTTGCAGTGGGTGCAGCCTTTGTAGTGGTTCCTGGCCGAGCCCCGACGCCGACAGTGCAAAGACCTCAGATCCTATGGCTGCCTTGCGAAGTAGCTGCTAAACTTTAAACGGAGGGCAGACATGGTGATCGGCCATTGCGAGGCCCCTGGCTTCCGGTGTGCGCGGATCAGCGGCCGAATCGGCCAGCTGGGGCTTGGCTGCTGCAGGTGGGTCTCAGTGAGTTGAATAAGGGGCAAAATAGCATCAAGAGCTCGGCTGTCCTGAAACTGAAATGCACAGGCCTTGCCCTGGGTGCGCACATGGGCTTGGCCGCTGCCTGGCGCGCTCGCTCCGCCACAGCTGCTCGCGCAGAGGGAGCCCAGCCCCCAGATCAGGTTCGGCCAAAGCAAGGCATGGAGGATTCACCAACTTCCCAGAAAAAGCAGAAGAAGAACATCACTTTTCGCATGCTCCTTTCCGATTAATCGCATATTTGGACCGTGGCTCAGATGAGAGCAGCGATCAGTGATTGTTTTTTTTGGCGTTTCTGATCATTGACTGCTACATGCCAAGGCTTACAAAGAGACGCCTGCCGATGAGCGCCTGTTTGAGCAGGACAGCATGGTAACCCATGTCTCGTTGGAGTGGTTTGATGTTGCAGTGGTTTGGTAGATTTTGCAGAACCAGTTCTCTGCGGTGAAAAAAAAAGCACTTGGGGTGCGATGAACATCAATCTGTGTGAGAGGTGTACCTGCAGTACACCTCTGAGTACATGAAGGGGCCAATGTACTGGCACAAGGACAAGCTGTGCCTCGGCTTTGAGGGTGATTTGTCCTAGTGAGCAAGAGCTGGATCACCTCAAGCCTTGACCATTTGACTTTTGGCATCGCTTGGAACTCTCGTAACAGCTGGCCTCGGACGATTGCAGGCAGGGCTCCCTGCCAGACTACCCTGGACGCCCCATGATCAGGGACGGCAAGTACACCCCCTATGTCCTGGGGAACCTGAAGGACTGCATTGGGGTTAGAAGTGATTCTCAAGTGCTTCCTATGCTGACTTGCTGATATGCATCTTGACAATTGTGTCTCGCTTGCGAGTCCTTCAGCTCCAACGAGCTGGCGTTCTTGTCCATGCTCTTCTTCGGCGTTGGCCTGTACGGCAACCTGCAGCAACTTGCCTGGCATAGAATGCAGGACCGGTGCAAGCTGCAGAGGATTTGTGCCCGCATTCTTTGAGAGCCTCTGCCATCTAGTTGCCATGCAACTGCCAAGGTTCAACTACTATGACCCGCAGTGGGCCAAGGTTGATGCCGGCGGTTATTTCAACGTCTCCTACATTGTGGAGTCCCTGCTGCTGCCCATCTCCTTCTTCATGCACATCGCCTGCTACATCCAGAAGCAGAATGGCAAGTGAGCAAGCTGCAGAGGCGGGTTTCTAAACTGGAGCCCTTTTTTGACGCCTTCACAAGAAGTGGGAGGCAGTAGGAGGGTGCACATGCGGAAGTGTGCGTCATCCAAAAAGGGCTGCGCGAAGCGGAGAGCTTGAGTAGGCGAGCTTTTGTTGAGAAGTGGCTGGCACTGAACATTGACACTCAATGTTGAATGAAGTCTGTATGTATGTTTCATATATATATATATAATACACATGTGGTGCCAAGAGGTAACCTAGGCGCTTGAAAGGGATGTATTCTGCAATCTCGATTTGGCCAAGAAAGCGAGAGGTGTGCTTGCAAGCATTTTGCCCAAGTTGCAAGGTTACTCATGGAATCTGTCTTCGTCCCTGGTGCGAGGACCGCATTGCTTGTACTATGTTTTTTGCGCTTCCTCATGTCGAGCTGACACCACGATATTCTCCGCTCTTGGTGCAGGGAATAGAATTTGGCAGACTTGCCCAGTTGGCAGCCGCAAACGTTTCAAGTGACCAGGTTCAACACATGTGGCAGCTTTCTAAACTGGTCGATTCGCAGAGCCCAGCTGTAGCAGCTTTGAGCGCAGGAGCTTGGGCGCTGAACCGAGGCCGAAGGCTCGAGACTGTGGTTGTTTGTGCTCACGGCGCTATCAGCGACCCTGAGCTTGCAAGCTTTTTGGGGTTGGGGGCAGAGGGCGGCGGGGAGGGGGGGTTGGGGGGGGGGAGCGGGGATGTTTGCGGCAGCCAGCGCAGACACAGACAGCCGCAGCATGCACACGCCGGCAGTGGCACGCCGGCAGTGTGCTTGGCGTTCGTGCCCAGAACCTCTGCAGCACACGCCGGCCGGAACGCGCGCACACACGCACACTCGGCCTTGCGCACGCTGTCCGCGCACACGCTCCCTTGCACGGACACAAAGTTCACACTCTAAGATAAAAGTGAAACGAAATACAGTACGTGAGGCAACGCGCGCGATTGCCACTCTTAGGCATATGTTTGACTTTGGCCGATGTCCCACAGTCGCAAACGGCGCCGTGACCTTGTTTGTGCACAATTGGGTGGATGGGTGCGTGTGTTCACGCCACGAATGCCTCGGGGTGCAGATGTTATGTGATGCTGTGTTCCTGGTCCGCATGGCGCCTTCGCGCGAAGGCCTCAGACTTGCGCGGTCATGCGAGGCGGGCTTTTGGTATTGCGACGGCCATCACAGAGTTGGTTGGGCTTCCAGGTAAGAGTTTGTGGCGAGAGGGTGAGCTTACCTTCCGCCCACGGACTTTGTTTTTTCTGCATGTCAGCAGTCGCACCGTGTGAAACTCGCAGGCAGGCCCCTGGCGGGCTGTCGGGCCCGACTTTGCCTATTCTAGTACTGGCATCCACCCTGGCAGCGGCCTCAGGGGGCAGTGCATCGGGTCGACAGGAGCTGCACTCGTCTCGGTGCCTCGGTGCAGGTAGGGAAGAGCTATCGACGGTCATGCAGGCAGAGCCGCCGGCTGCTCAGAGTTTTGCCAATCTCAGAGCCGCAAGTTGGCCCCAAGAAAGATGCAGCCGCTTTTTTGTCCAAAGTGTGAGATTTTCAGGCATATTGCATGGCGCAGCTCGTTCTTAGTGGATGACGTGTGTGCTGTTTTTGTTTCGCTAGCAACAGTAAAGCCTTGTCAACAGTAAGTTTAACTATTTTGCATCCCAGGCCGTACACTGCGACCTTTGAGGGCATCGGAGGCATGGTGATTGAGAGAATGCGTGAGTTTGCCACAGCCCTTTCAAAGGTGATGCTGCCTGATACTTTGTTTGCGCGGGAGCTCAGAGCGGCTTGCAACTTTAGTGGAGCACGTGTGTTGGAGAATGAACAGTGACCTTGCATTTGAGTTTGTAAGAATGCAACACAAAGGCAGCGCGCATGGTAAGTGCAGCATGGCCGGCCAAGCTGACAAACTAAGCCTCATTCCCGTCACAAAATGGGACAGCGCGGGTATGGTGTTGTGGCAGCCCTCATTAACAAGGCCGCCGAGATTCTGCTAGTTTCTAGATGTTTTCATGACCGCCGCTCTGTGAAAAACACCACAGCCGTCGCTTTGAACAGGCCTTTGGCCCACAGAAAACCGCAGCGGTTCGAGGATCTCGAGCCGACGGAATCCTGGTCCTCCAAGCTGGCGGGGGGTCTCGGTCTCGAGCCGCCGGGTGAGAAAGCCAGAGCCACGTGCTCAAAGCCCAGGTTGAAGGTTAGGGAGAATCCCCTTGCAAAAAATGGGTGCTGGTTTTCATGGTTCTTGGTAGACCAGGTCAATGCCAGGTTCAGATGATGTCTCATTTGGTTTCCCCTCCTCACCAAACCAGCAGACTACCAGTAATTTTGCGACATGGTGTCATGTCGCTTTTCTGAGCCAAGGAGGTTCTACATGAGGCGCATTCCATGCAAAAGAGGTCCTCACGGTGGCAGATCCTAGCAGGTTGGACCCCCAAAGGAAACCTGTCGTTTTTTTCAGCCAGTCAAGTTTTGCAGCTTCTGAGGGGCACAAATTTGTCCTCTCTTTGATTTATGACCCAGATGGGGATCCAATCAGGCCCTTCATCGGCCGTTCACCACAATTGTGCCTTTTCAATTTCTCGGATGAGAACCTGGCATGTTTCCCCTGTGGAAGGATTCCATCTCTCGGATGTCGGAAGATGCAGGCTTGCATGTTTAATTTTTTGTGTCCAGGGTATCGTGCCCCCGGACGACATCCGAAGACGCATCCGGCTCACGCGGGGCATGCTGGAGAAAGACCTTCTCGGTGCCGAGCCCGGACGGAGATTGCGAGAGTGACCAACTACGATGGAGGGCCATTTGTTTGGGAACTTTTCACGTTTTTCTTTAGGATTCTACACAACATCCCCCAAAAAATCGGGACCAACTATTTCCTTTTTTTTTTAGCATTTAAAGATCACCTTTTAGTGAACAGAGGAAGCTTCGAAGCGCATGGAAGTGGAGCTGTCAGCGCTCCCCCAAACGTACGTTGGGCATCAGCAGTTTGGTCCGCTGCGCAGCTTACATCGGCGACACCGTCTGGGAGTACTTGGTTCTTCGGCATCAGTACCAGCAGGCACGGCTGCCCGAGAAACGCGCATCGTGCGAGCGCGCGCGCGCTTTTCTCTCGCGCTCCGGCTTCGGCGCAGGTGGTCCGGAGCCCCTTCACGGAGAGCCAGAAGGCGGACATCTCGGGTTTCAGATCTGCATTGAGAATAGGAAAGCAAGCCAGATCTGAGAACATGCAGTGGCGCAAGCGATTTGCTCTTCACATGAGGCAAAAGCGGGTTCCCCTTTCAGACGCAGCCTTTTCAGGTGAGGTCGATCAGGCAGGCCAACGCGGCGGTCATGCTCTTCCGTGGTGAGCGCGGGAGCCAACGATTAGGGAGAGACTGCTTGTTGCTTTGGCTGCTTGTTCCTGGGACTGGCACTGTTTTTGCTGTCGCTACTGGCCCCAACTATCGCAGTTGTGCTGTTTGTTGCCGTTTCTTGCTTTTTGGTTGCTGTTTCTCCCTGGCGCTGCTTGTCGCTCTCACTGTTGTTGTCGTTGTTGCTGCCTTTTCGCTTTGGTTGCTTTTCGCTATTCCTGTGCCTGTTGCTGCTTGCTTCTTGGCACGTGGCGGCCGTTGCCTTGGGCCGTAGTCCCGCGAATCGGCACTCCTTGAGGGCGCTGACTGAGAGGGAGCGCACCGTCGTTTTGGAGGGCGCCCAGAAGACCTGGCTGAGCAAGGCGACGAGACTCGGAGCATGTGGGAAAGCATGGACACTTTCGCACATATGGCCATGGGTCAAAATCCCGTACCCCCAGTGAACATCCCAATCCCCACTAAAATAGAGTAAAATGGGTGGTGCACCTACCCCAAAATGGTACCATTGGTTTTGACCCACAGCCATATAGCTCCAGTTTCCAGTGGCCTGACAATCTCCCACGGCTGTAGGTTGCGCATGTGATGCAGGTGAGGATGAACTTCGACAACATCCAGGAGGTTGGAGTCAATGCGTGCCCAGCGGCGTTCCGTGGCGTTTTGCCGGCTCTGACCTGTTGCTGCTAATGTTGCACCGCCAGATTCCGTTGTGCCATCAGAGCTTTGTAATGCGTGTGGTTTACACAGACGAACTTGGCAGCTGACGCAGCGCACTCGACACCCACATGGGCCCTCCGAACTCGATCATAAGTTGGCCCTCTGCCAGACCCGTTTCCTTTTGAGACCATCTCTCGAGGTACTCCAGCGCCCTGGGCCTTCGAACCCTGCTGGGCTACGCCTACATGGACGCGGCTGCCTCTGATGCCGACCTCACGCGGATCGTGGATGAGGCCCCGGGTGCCTTCCGGCCGGGCGAGGGCGGAGGTCTGCGTCTCTCGCGAGTGGCTTTCCCTTTCAAATCTCTGGCAAATCAGCCACAAAAGGGGCACCCTCAAAAGCGCGCCCTTGCGGGGAGGCTTGTGTTTTGAAGGCTGGCCACACCAAGCTGACGAACCCCGTTTGTGGCACAAATGAGTTGCCTCTGCTAGGTGAGATGCGACTCCAATCACGGACAGTCTGTTTCGAAGTTCGAACACAACGTGTGCGCGTGTAGTTTTGACTTTGCCCTACGACTGGCGGACTGCCTGCCAGATCGGGCTGCTTACACCTCCTGGAACGGAAGATAAGATGCTGTCCGAGATCACCGGAGGCAGTTGCAGCTGAATTGATTGTAGGATACGTGGTGCGTGTTTGCGTGTCGCAGGTATCTTTGACCCATCACTTCGTCCGCCTGGTAGCTACTTCCTGGCTCCCTCCTCAGCCCTGTTGAATGCACGCTGTGCGCATCAGGGACAGAAATGGTTTATAGGAATCATAATGTGCGCCCCACCGCAGGCCCTGGCGCCTTTGGGTCACGCCGCACTGCGCCTATACATTTGCCGATACCTTTGCGAGAGGCGGGACTGCGTCATTGGTATGTTGATTCGTAGGCGCATGCCCTGTGCGCTGGGGCTGTGTTGGGGCATGGTCCAGCGTCTCGCTCGAGGCCGACGCAGGCGAGTGAGTTCATCTACCGAGTGAAGATGGCGCCGAAGCCTTGAGGAACATATTTTCTGGGCCAATGTGTGAGATCAGCCTCATCTTGCAATTCGCGTGCGCTTATGTTAGGTTGCTTTTGGGGTTCCCGGGGTTGTACGGTTCCGAGCTCTTCGCGTATTTGCATACAACTAGGTGAAAGAAAGGATCAGTTAGTTCGGCTGCTAACAGACCATCTCAGATGTGAACGGGATCCGGCTCAGACGTGTTGTTGAATTGCGCAGAACCTGCCCCAGGCTTCGCCAAGACGAGCTGGATGCTGCAGCGGCGCGGGACATGTGAAAAGCCCATGGCTATTCTGGGGATTCACCCGTGGCTTCTTTGCGTCAACCCTGGCAATGTGAAGAGGCGGCCTTCCTGCTGGATAGTGCTACTGCCGAAGAGGCCCGCCTGATGCAGGCCGGTCGGTGAGTGTCGCCCAGGGCGCCGCCGTGGACGCGTATCCATTGCCAGATTTTCCAAGGATGTGCTTGGAATGCACTTTGCTTTTGGATTGAACCCTCAGCATGTTTCACAATTTTGGAGTGTTTTGTGGGGGCTGCGAAGAGTGTTCGAAACATTCCGAGGCACATTGGGACCTCGAGCCAATCTTAAAGCATCCCGCCTTGGATTTGGATATTATACTTGTACGGTGTTGCATGTCAACACGTTTGATTGCACAATAGCTGCCTGTTTCAACAAATCTCGCCGCGCTCGTGCGGTTTCTTGGACATTATGAGCATGCGATTCTTGATCATGATCCTGAAGGAATCGAACATCTGTACTCTGTTCAAGCAGGTTTTGCGCTTTAGGACTGGTTTGCCACCAGGACACAAGCTTCCCTATTTAGGGAACTATGACCATGTCCACATTTTGACACACACACACACACACACACACATGGGCACACTGTTACTCGGCTCCAAAGGCTTGGTCGCAAGAACCTGTGAGATCCATCCGGTAGGATGAATGGGGATGGTGATAAACCCTTGAAGGACGCTTGAAGATGCTTGGGCAAAGACAAAGCTGTTTCCTTATAGGGATTTGTGCCTAACGGATGTCCTCAAAAACAAGGAGACTCAGACCTGGTTGGAATCATCAGATCAGATCGGCCATCGGAGGGCGCCCGCGAGCAGCGGGACAGCTACGCCTTTGCCTTCGAGTGCTTGCTGGGCGACCTGGCCCTCCGGCTGCCGTGCCCCGTGGCTGGTTGGGTACAGTTCAGGCCGAAGGGCGAGGAAAGAAACCAAAAGGTCGAAGCTGAGGGTTGAGACTGTGGATCTGTGGCATATGCGGGGTAGGACTATGTGGCCTTTGCAATCCAGGATCAATTCCCCTCCCCAAAGGCGATCCCTTGAGAGGAATTCCACCCGAGGACTCTTTTGCCGAAAGACGACTTGCGAAGACACACTTGCGACATGAATTTCCCTCCCCAGAAGAATTGGAAGCCCCAAGTAGGCCGTAGGTTCAGCCACATGCACAAGTAGGCCTCTTGCGGATGGGAGGTGCGCCGCTTCCTTGAGCCAAATCCGGTTGTTTGCAAGTACGCCAGCTTGTGACTTGGATCCGGCTCCAACCTCAGAGTTTCTCAGCTAGTGGCACAGTCGAGAGGCTGAAGGTCCGGCTTGCGTGAGCAAGTTAATTGAGCTGAAATCCCGAGAAATGGATTCTATCAATAGTATTTGGGACCTGCTCCACCGTGCTCAATCAAGTTCGGTCAGCTGCAGTTTTTGAAATACGGCATTCGAGCCAAGCGCGCTTGCTCCAGCGATTTCATATTTGAGCGGCAAGCGCACTTGGCTCGATTTCTGTTCTCCGAACAGATGGCGTCTGATCGCTAACAGATCCCATGGTCCAAACCTGCCAGGTACCGCCTGCATCAGATCGTCTCGCAGTTTGGCTGGGCTCAGCCTTTGGAAGGTACGTGAAGCCTTTATCCCCTTTCCCCGGAGATCGGGGTCCCGTCTTTAGGTGGCCAAAGCCCCGGGAGCATACGGTGATTGTACTGCTTGGGAGGGAACTGCCTGAAAGTTCTGTTGATCGCATAATAAGCCGAGCGCTCAAGTGGCAAGTTTCCGAGCTCTGCCTGGAAAAGAAGTGCGATTGATGTGGTTGCAAATCCACTGCATGTGCAATCTGAATGAAACCTTGATTCAACATGCTCCGCGATCGTGCTACTCTCAGCCAGGTGTAGCAGTTTGCAGGACAAGCATAAAGTAAACACAACTGCAAACGAAAGGACGTTGCCCTTTTGTTTCTGCGGGCTGCATTGAGTGGTGCCTGGCGTTTCACCTGCCATCCGCTCACAGCTTGCGCGGGTTGACGAGCCAGCGCCTGAGATTGCTCCAGCCACTTTGGCGATTGCCACCACTGGTGCCACTGGTGCCACTGGTGCCACTGGTGCCACTGGTGCCACTGGTGCCACTGGCTAGCGTGGGAATAATTCTTCGCTTCTGGGACATTCTTTGGATTGCAAGAGCGGGGCCAAGCCACAGGGAGAGGGAAGAGTTGTGACTCGTTGTGACCAGAGAAGTTCCGTGCGCAGCTTTCTTGGCTCATTCCAGGAGGGTCCGGCACTTGGCAGCATGACTCGACTCGCTGTGGCTGCGGTTGCAGCTGTGGCTGTGGCAGCCGGCACCGCCTTCGTCGTGGCTCCTGCAAGAGCTCCCACACCCACAGTGCCGGGGCCTCAGAGCCTCGAATTTTGGGTGTTGACTTCCTTCTCTTGGTGGCTCCGTTTTTTTTTCCTTCTCCATTTTTTTTTAACATTATTATTATTATTATTATTATTATTATTATTATTATTATTATTATTATTATTATTATTATTATTGTTATTATTATCATTATTATTATTATGATTATCATTATTATCATTATTACCGTTTTATTTTTTTTGTTAGATTTTTGGTTGGTTTTGCGTGGGGGTTTCCATTTAACCCGATCTGAAAGTTAAACACTTTTAGCAGGATCTGAGGCCATCCAGTTTTAGTTCTGGTTTCCCGGACCAAGCGTCTGTCTTTCTTGGAGCTGAGAGTTTTCGACAACGCCAAGGCCATTGGCCTCCGGAGCGCGTGGATCTGCCGAGTCGGCCGGATGGGGCTTGGCGGCCGCAGGCTGGGAGGAGAGAGAGAGAGAAAGAGATAGAGAGAGAGAGAGAGGGAGAGACTCTGTGTGTCTGTGTGTGTGTTTTTGTGCGTAAGGCGTGCTGTGTATAGACACCAGGCAGATTCTGCGCTTTTTGATGCAAAGGGTGGAGAGATTCGCGGAAGTTCAGCAGCTCGAGGCCTTGCTGTGGGCGCCCACATGGGCCTTGCAGCTGCCTGGCGAGCCCGATCTTCCACTGCCGCTGGTGCCGAGGGGGCGGCCGCCTCAAGCCGGCTGCAAGCTGCAGAGAGTCTTGCGGATGACCCCGAGATAAACCATGATAAAATAGCTCCACTACAATGGCCGTGGTGCCAAGATAGGTTACCATTACAAGTCTTGCTGGAGCTATCCAGTACCATCCCTGGTTTCCCTTTTAGGGGACCCCCAGGTTCATTTCCTCGTTCCCTGAGCACCAAGCAGTGCCAGCTACAAGGCGCCAAGGCGCAGCCAATAGCTTGCAACCTGAGGGGGCCTACAAGGAGACGCCTGCCGATGAGCGCCTCTTTGAGCAGGCACGTGTTTGATCCCAGGCTGAGAATAAGTCTAACAAAGAGAGGTCTACCTGCAGTACACCTCGGAGTACATGAAGGGCCCCATGTACTGGCACAAGGACAAGCTGTGACCTGGCTGCATTGGCACTACAACTGAGCCGGCTTGCCAATTAGACTTGCTTCTCGAGCTAGAGTCTAGAGCAAAAGCTGGATCAGCCTTGATCGCCGCTCTTGTAATGGTGTATGGTTGGCTTTGGACGATTGCAGGCAGGGCTCCCTGCCGGACTATCCTGGACGCCCCATGATCAGGGACGGCAAGTACACCCCCTATGTCCTGGGAAACCTGAAGGACTGCATTGGGGTTAGACAGGATTCTCAAGTGCTTGCTATGCTGACTTGCTGATACGCATCTTGACAAATGTGTGTCTCTCTTGCGAGTCCTTCAGCTCCAACGAGCTGGCGTTCTTGGCCATGCTCTTCTTCGGCGTTGGCCTGTACGGCAACCTGCAGCGCTTGGGCTCAGATGCCATAGCTTTACGCAAAGGTAGCTGAGCTATTGAACTTGCCGGTGTTACAAAGTCTGCAGAGCAGCCTCTTTCGGTCTGAGCGTTCTGCTTTCGGCCTTGCTGCCTAGGTTCAACTACTATGACCCGCAGTGGGCCAAGGTTGATGCCGGCGGCTACTTCAACGTCTCCTACATTGTGGAGTCCCTGCTGCTGCCTATCTCCTTCTTCATGCACATCGCATGCTACATCCAGAAGCAGAACGGCAAGTGAGTGAGTCAAGATGGTTTCGAAAGCTGAGCCCCTTTTTGAACATGGCAGGCGCCAAAAAGCGAGAATGCTTGCAGCCCTCCTGACACGTGTGGGTTGGGGAAGGCGGGTTTCTGGGAAGGGATTGGGCGATTTCGAGGCGCGCTGCGATGGCCATGAAGAGACTCAAGAGGGCGCCAGCCCAAGAGACACCCGAAGAGTTGATTTCTCTGGCACATGAGAGCCCTATGCATTGGGTCTCGCCGTACACCAGCGATGTCCTGGAAGCTGCAGGTGCAGGATGCTGCGCACAAGTCTTCGAGTGAGCCGCAGGCAAGTACTTTGGGATGGCCAGTGAACTTTGCGAAGGGAAGGCGTGCTGTTGGACATGCAGCCGGCGGCCAAGATGACTTCATGTCCATTGTTCAGGACGAAGCTTGCTTTGGTGCGCCGGCGAAGCAGCACTTCGTATGGGGCACTTGCTGCCTGTGCGCGCTCCGCGAGATGGCAGTGCCTTGGAGGCATGTGGCAATTTGGGCTTCGGGGCAGATCCAGACAAGGAGAGTTGTTCCAGTAGGTTTTGAAGCCACTGGCTGTGGGTCAAAACCGTTTTGGGATCCCAGTTTGGTTGGTAGGTGAATTCACCACCCATTTTAGGCTTCCTATTTTAGTGGTTGGATTGGTTGATGTTCACTGGGGGTACGATTTGGATTTTGAAAAGCCCATGGCCATCTTGCAGAGCTCTTTGGCTGAGGCTGGCGATCAGCCACTTGGAGGTGCTGTGCAAGCGCGGGCAGGCTTGGGCGGCTTGGCCATGCTTTTGCTGCGAACAAAAAGGTGGAGTTTATTATTATTATTATTATTATTATTATTATTATTATTAATTGTTATTATTATTACTATTATTATTATTATTATTGTTATTATTATTGTTATTATTATTATTATTATTATTATTATTATTGTTATTATTATTATTATTATTATTATTATTATTATTATTATTATTATTATTATTATTATTATTATTATTATTATTATTTATTATTATTATTATTATTATTATTATTATTATTATTATTATTATTTTTCTTCATTTTGTTTTTTAAATAAAAAAACTTTGGTCTAGTTTTCAAGATATTTAGAGGCCGCACTCGGACAAGTGTTGGAATGGAAGGGACCTTTGTTGCAAAGAAAACCATGCACCAGGGTCTCCCCCACTTCTGGCAGGGTGTTCGTCTTCCAGCGTCGGCCTTCAGGCAGCCCGACCTGAGCACCATGTACCCGTGGAGGCTTACAATGCGGTGATATCTGCCTGGAGCTTGGAGAAATTCTTGGCGCGCAGGTTTGTCCGCTGCACCCATTGCGGTGCCAAGCACAGGAACACACCATATTGAACTGGGTTGGAGGAAAACAACCGAGCCAATCCAAGCCACTAACCACAGCTGCAAGCAGATGGCTGGCCAGGGCATCGTAATTTGGCAATAGTTAAGTTTGATACAGGTTGATACACATTGATCCAAGTCTTGGCGGTCGCATACTAGCATTTATTAGACTTCAGGTTCTGTTTGTTGCATGCCTTGCACATATCAATGATACATCAGCATCACATCATGTCACCCGAGGCCTGCAAGCAACGCAAGCAGTGGGTACCTGCCTTTGCCTTCACACCAGTGAATTGCAACATGAGTGGGGCTTTTTGAAAGAGAAGAGGCAAGTTGGAACACATGGCCATGGTTCAAAGCCAATGGTACCATTTTGGGATAGGTGAATTCAGCACCCATTTTAGAACCTATTTTAGTGGTTGGATTGGGATGTTCACTGGGGGTACGTTTTTTGTTTTTGTTTTGACCCATGGCCACGTCATTTCGATGCTCGGAGCCTGCATCATCCGCCGAGGTTTCGCTGTGCTTTGAGTCACCGACTGCCACTGAGGCGGTGGTTCTTCGACTCGTGGAGCTGATGCAGCGCCGAGCGTGTGAGTCCGAACCCCAGCCAAAAGAACCACTTGTAGAGCTGAAGTTTCCACAGGGCTCCTTAAAAGATACCATTTTGCAACCATTTGAAACATGTTGCTTTTTCCACCAAAATAAAGGGAAACCACCATTTACAAGGCAATGTTCAGGTGTATATTGTAGGGATCCCTGGTCCAAGATCCTTGTACCGCTGGTGATGTGAAGATGTGCAGGCACTCGCATGTGGCATCATTTTCTGGTGCTCTCCAGGCCTGATCAGTATACCTACTCTTCTGCAATCAGCTCTTGCGGAGGCAACCAATTGCTGGGACTTGCAAAATGCCTGCATACCGTAAATCGGAGGGTTCTTGAGGTGGAGAGGCACAATTTCCGGGTAATGCATGTTTCATGTCTCCAACTCGTGTGGCAGGTGCGCATTGGCAGCACGCCCTGGCGTTGGGTGAGCAGATGGTAAAAGAGGCAGTTGAGTCGGGGACCCAGCATCGGTCAGGCCATTGGTTGAATTCCAGCCTTTGAGTTGAAATGGGTACGGGTCAAAATTAGACCACCCGGGGACCACAGGTTTAGTCCTTGGTTCCATTCACCAGGGCTCCATTTTGCGTATTTTTGACCCACAGCCAAATGGCAAAGGCGCTATACAGAAGAACATACGGTGCCGTGCTTGTTGTTGTGGTGACTGCTGTGGAACATGACTGCAAGCAGCAACAAGGTGTATGTGTTTTGTATAGTTGTTTGCGTGATCGTACCTGCTCGCATTTAGGTGGCGTGTTTCTTTAGCAACGAGGGAGTTGAGCCTCTATATCTAGAGCGAAGACAGCGCGGACCTTGCATTTGAAAAGCCCAAACAGCGAACTAGTAAACTCAGCAGGTCCGTGTGCTTCCTTGAGTGATCACATCATTATTTTGTTTGTTTGCGTGGAACACATTGCAGTCATTACAAATTCCGACTCTTCACCCACACGTTCTTGGCTGGAGCACAAAGCCTTGGGTTGATTTGTTGTCTTCTCTGTTTCAACTGTGCTTCACCGGTGCCTGTTCAAAGGAAGCCTTCAGTCGATGAGTTGACTTCTCTGTACTTCACCCCTCTTTCCACTTTCACTTGGCTCCGAGTCACTAAGACGCGCCATCAATGGATTCAAAAGAGAACGGAGGGAAAACAATGCATTGATGGAACACCCTCACTGGGGCGGCCTGGTGAAAAAGCGCCCGGGGGAAGGCGCCCAACAAGCACCGTCGACGCAGGCCCGGCGCGGTCGCGGCCACCGCGCTGATCAGCGCCTGCGCCCGGGCGGCCGAGTGGCAGCGCGGTGCCCGGGGGGACTCGGGGGACTCGGGCGAGGCCGACGGGTTTGGAGCTCCATCTCTTTTTTTGGGCGACCAGGTGAGTTGGGTCAAAATTAAACCAGGAGACCGCAGGCTTTAGTCATCGTTTCCATGTACCAGGGTGCCATTTTGGGGTTAGCCTATTTTTGCGGTGCGATTTTTTTCGTGACGTGCGCTAAGCAGATTGTGCGACCGAAAACGCGAAAACGCGAAGACCGCGAAAACCGCAAAAAAATACGAAAACGGCAAAAAACACGAAAACCGCGAGAAGCGCGAAAACCGCGAAAACCACGAAAGCGGTGAAAACCAAATGCCAACTTTTGCCCGACGTAACCCTTTGAAAGGGTGGCAAACTCATCCCACATTCTGTCTATCCATGTATCTATCTATGTATCCGTATCTATCTATCTATCTATCTATCTATCTATTTATCTATCTATCTATCTATCTATCTATCTATCTATATCCAACTATCGATCTATCTGTCTTTTTATCTATCTCTATCTCTATCTCTATCTACCTATCTCTATCTATATCTACCTGTCTCTATCTATCTCTATCTATCTCTATCTATCTATCTATCTATCTATCTATCTATCTATCTATATCCAACTATCGATCTATCTGTCTTTTTATCTATCTCTATCTCTATCTACCTATCTCTATCTATATCTACCTGTCTCTATCTATCTCTATCTATCTCTATCTATATATCTATCTATCTATCTATTTATATCCATCTATGTATCTATGTATCTACCTATCTATCTATCTATCTATCTATCGATCTATCTATCTATCTATCGATCCATCAGTTTGTCTATCTATCTATCTATCTATCTATTGACCGTATCTATCCTATCTATCCTATCTAGATATCATATCTATAAAATCGTTCCTACCTGCCCTATTTAACTCTTTGTATCTTATCTAGATTGTCCATCTGATCTATCTGATAAATGTCATACGTCGTATCTACATTGTCTATCATATGATATCTATACTATTTACCATCTCTATCTTACCTACCTTATCTTATCTTATCATAGATTATCTTGTCTTATGCTATCTTAGCCGATTTTATTTCCTATCGTATCCTAGCTTGTCCTGTATTATCCTATCTGCTCCTATCTATCCAATTTTAGCCTATCTTACCGTGTCTTCTCCTGTCTTGGCCTATCTATCCTATGTATCGATCGATCTATTTGTCTATGTAACTACCTATCTCTCTGTCTTATCCTGTCTTATCCTACCCTCATCCTGTCTTATCCCATCTAATCCTATTTTCCTATCGTATTCTACCTTCTCCTATCGTATTCTATCTTATCCTGTATTAGCCTTACTTCCTATCTAATCCTGTCTTATCCCGTCCTATCCTCTCTTATCCTAGCCGATCCCATGTTATCCTACCTTATCTTGTATGTTGCTATATGTTCCTACCTTATCCTATCTGTTCCTATGTATCTATCTATCGATCTATGTACCAACCTACCCAGCTACCCACCCACCTACCTCCCATCTATCCCATCCTAGCTATCGCATCTATCTTGGTATATCTTATCTATCTGATCTATCTTATGTATCGCATCGATGGTATCCACCTATCTACATTACCTACATTGTCTTTTCTTACAACATATTATCCTGTATTATCCTGTCTCAACTTCTCTTATCCTGGTTTATCCCATCTTATCCCATCGTATTCTATCTTATCCTGTCTTACCCTATCTTATCATATCTTATCTCAGATCACCTTATCTGATCCTATCTGTCTATCTATCTATCTATCTATCTACCGACCTATTCTATCTACCTACCTATTCTAAATATCCTACCTTCTCCAGCTTTCCTGTTTATCTCGTCGTGTGTAGCTTCTGTATCGTTTCTAGCATATCTATCTGATGTATCGTATGTCTTATCTACCTTGTCTACCTTATCTATCATGTCTATGCAATTTACCTTATCTACCTTGGCTACCTTACCTACCTCTATAGTATCCTGTCTTAGCTTCCTTAGCGTATATTATTCTATAACATGTTATCTTATCATGTCTTGTTCTAACTTGTCCTACCTTACCCCATGTTGGCCAATCTTACCGTGTCTTATCCTATATTATCATGTTGTAGCGCATCTTATCCTATGTATATACATACATACCTTTACCTCTCTATCTCTTTATCCACATCAATATATATATATACATGTATAATCATATGTTAGCCTTTTTTCATCCTATCATATCCTGCCTTATGCTGTCTTATCCTGTCTTATGCTATCTTAGCATATATTATCCCGACTTATCCTAGCGTATCCTACCTTATCCTATGCATCTATCTATCTATATATCTTATCCTATGTATCTATCGACATATCCATTTGTCTATTTGTCTATCTATCTATCTATCTATCTATCTATCTATCTATCTATCTTACTACCTAGACACCTACCTATCTATCCTATCTATCATGTCTATCATATCTATCCTATCTTTCCAATTTGTCCTATCTGTCTCATCGTATCTATCTCACTATCTTGTTCCATCTTATCTACATGATCTATCTTATATGCCTTATCTACCTTGACGATCGTACCTATCATATCTATACTATCTATCTTATCTATCTTGCCTACCTTATCTTATCTTATCACACATTCTCCTGTCTTATCTTCTATCTTATCCTGTCTCATCCTATCTTATCCTATCTTCTCCCATGCTATGTATCTATCGATTTATCTATCTCTCTATCTAATCTAATCTAATTTATCTATCTATCTATTCGTGGTTTTCGCGGTTTTCGTGGCTTTCGCGTTTTCTGGTTTTCGCGTTTTCGTGGTTTTCGCGTTTTTGCGGTTTTCGCGGTTTTCGCGTTTTCTGGTTTTCGCGTTTTCGTGGTGTTCGCGGTGTTCGCGGTGTTGCGATTTTCGCGTTTTCGTGGTTTTGTGGTTTTCGCGCTTTGCGGTTTTCGCGTTTTCGCGATGTTCGCAGGTGTTCGCTGCAAGTTTCCGTTGTTAGCATGCTTAATGGCCTTGTGTTTTTTCAGCCCCAGCGGTCATGGAAATAAGATAGGTAGGTAGGTAGGTAGGTAGGTAGAAAAACAGAAAACGCGAAAACCGCGAAAACCGCAAAAACACGAAAACCTCGAAAACGCGACGACCAGGTGAACACCAGGAAAACGCAAAACCGTGAAACGCCAGCATGGGAGAAAGGTGAAAAGGCGCAAGCTTCAAGAACAAAGGCGGCTGCCTTGAGAGCCAGCAACGGAGCTGTCTGGTTTCTCGGTTTTCTCGTTTTTCTCGTTTTTCTCGGTTTTCTCGGTTTTCTCGGTTTTGCAGTTTTTGTCGGTTTTCCGGTTTTCTTGGTTTTTCCGGTTTCCGGTTTTCTCGCGCGAATCCGGTTAGCTCCGTGTTGCTCAAAACGAGTGCTTAGTATTTTTGTCCCACAGCCATTTGAAGCATGTGAATTGAGGTATGGGTTTTGAGGGGCAGAAGAAAAGAGGAGGAGGAAATTGAATGGAAGGGAAGTTCTCTTTGAAGTTTCTGCACGTATGACGGACCCTCAAAAGGTGCTTTTGTGAGGCCATGTAGCTCCTCCACATCGCAGAGTCTTGCGCAACATGTTACATGTTTTTCTTGAATCAGACTCTGTTTGGTCCACCAGGCACACTGATAACCGGTCGCTGCAGAATGCTCACTTGGCAAGTCCCACGCTTGATGCATTGCGCGTGGCAAGTTATCAAACAAACACATACCAGATTCAAACGGCGGCCAACACGCAACCAACCATCTGACAAGTCGCGGTGAGGCTTGCCTTGAATCTTTACGAGAAGAAGAGGCAGGCAGCTCAAGAGAATTCATCCAGCTGCTGCCTTCGCCATGAACTTGATTCTGGGCTTCTCCATGCATTTTATCAGTTTTCTTGTAACAGTCTTGTTACCGCTTCCCGAATTTTAAGCTGGGGAGGCTGATTTGGGGCACGTTCTTTCCATGTTTCCAGCGTGCCGTTGAAGTTCTCGGACTTTTGGAGTGCCTGCGGGAGGTGGGATGCAGCGGCCGTTGTGAACGCCACCATGAATGCCTGCGTTCCTGGCTTGGTTGAATCCACGAGCCATGTCAATCGACGAGGCTTTCATATGTCTGCATCTTCTCGCAGCAATTCAAGCTTGTAGATGTGGGCATCTTTGGAGGTCAGAGGATCTTGCTGGCCATTGTCCTTGCAGCTGCTGCAAAGGACTTGTTGCATCCAAGATTCCTCATACGCAGCAAGAATGTCTACAACTCAAGAGCAAGTTTCCCTGTCCTTTGTGACCTAAGGGATGACAATGACTGTGGCATTCAAGGAGTTTTTCAAGATGTGCCCCCTTTCCTGTCGATCCACTGAAAAATGTGATATATTTGCGTCCTTTCTGGGCAAATCAAATGGCGATCATGACCAAGCCGAGCTGAAGGATGGTGAAAGACGGGCTTCAGCCAGATCTGGTTAGCTCGCTACCCAGCTCGGGGATTAACATGCATTCAGGCGGATACGATCCATTGCCGAAGTGATCACGGGGCAATGATTGAATTTGTGTAGGTCAGCAAAAGGACATTCTTTGTATGCCAGGTGAGCTAGGCTTGCCTTGCATGAGGTTTTAACTCCGCCATCCATGCCTGTGAAAAGGGTGGGGCCTGGGTGGTGCTCTCAGGATGGCGAGAGAGAGAGAGAGAGAGAGTGAGAGACAGAGAGAGAGGGAGCGACGAGAGAGAGAGAGAGAGAGAGAGAGAGAGAAAATAGAGAGAGAGAGAGAGAGAGAGAGAGAGAGAGAGAGAGAGAGAGAGAGAGAGAACGAGAGAAAGCACCCAACATTTTGTGAGAAGGATTTAATCCCTTCTTCCTAATGCTAAACAGTCCCCTAATACTAAAACCGGTTTTGGAGAATCCCAAATCCGGGAATACTACTTTTAGAATAGCCAATACTAGACCAATTCTAAAGTAGGAATTATCCTGCCCGTACCCAAATCCACCCCAATTAGGGGACCTTTTTTTCTGGCAAGTACAAACATGGCAATTAAAAACATGCCTGTCTCCTTCCCTCTCTCTCTTTCTCTCTCCACACAAAAAATACAACACTCGACTCATTATTTGTCTCCCAAGGCTTTCCGAAAACGAACCGGGGACCCCCGAATACTAAAACCGGTTTTTTCCGGGGGACCCGTTTAGTATTAGGGGGGGGACGTTTAGCATTAGGGGGAACGGATTACTCTCTGTGGACACTTCACCGTTTTATCCTCTCCTCATGCCTAGGGTTGAGATTTCAGCGCGTATGCGGGCAGGGCTGAGGGGCCCAAGGTCTTGGCCTTGCAGCTCTTGGCACGGCTGGAGGAAGCCCTGCAGCCGGACGTCATCAGCCCCAGCCCCGGGCCGCTGGAGTCGCATTCATCTTGTGCGTGGCACAGACTTCCGGGCGGAGGCTTCAACGCTGCGATGAGCGCCTGCTCCGAGGCGCCAGCGAGACGTTTTTTTTTGGTTTGTTGGCGACTTTGGGGCAAGTCTGAGAGTGGCAGGTCGGGCAAGCGACACATCTCAAAGGTAGGTAGGCAAGCGGTCGGTGCGCTGAGTCGCGCTCGGCAACGCCCGCGAAAAAGTTCGTTGGAGCTCGTGTAACAATTGGCGCAGGTGAAGTTATGATCATTCTCCATGCACTGAGAAAGATATAGATGCACACAAAGACAGAAGAAGCCTGGAGGAGACAGAGAGACAGATGCTGGAGCTGGTGGACTCTGTGGGCGGGTCACGCCTCGTTCGAACAGCTGCAATCTGCAGGGCCAGCGTTGGGCCGGCGCGCTGCTTTTGCTCTCCGAGATGGCGACGAAGCAGGCGGTTGGAAACTGGTTGGGGACATGTGGAAAGCGTTGGGAGACTCTTCCAGGTGTGTGTGTGTGTGGTAAAGCTTTGGACTTCCTGAAGGTGGACCTCCTTCTCCCTTTGGGTTCCCTTTAGAGCCAACCGAAAGGGGGTACCCTCAAAAAGAAGACAAAACCAGTGGGGCTTTGCCCAGTACTTCTTTGTCTCGGGATGGCTCCCTGAGCTCCCAGATCGTCTGATCGTCTTTGTGACCACCCTCACTTTTTATGTCGCCTGACAAAGTGTTCCCAGCTTCATAGCAGAGTTGACCAGTGTGTACATTGGGCTTAACGGCCTCTTTGAGCGGTTCATCAGCATCAGGTATGCGAGGTAGACACATGACATGCGCGTTTTTGTTGCTGCACAGCAAATTCAGCAGAGCACCTTGGGGGTGCAACAACTGACGGGAGGCCGCAAGCCACAGGTCTTGTCGAGAGATTGCACAGATCCAGCTAGTTGCGACGAAAGTAGAAGGTGTCACACGCTTGAAATGCTCGACCCTCAAGCTATTGCTGTTTCACGTCTGACATCACATCACACAAGCATGCAATTTACTTGTTTCCGAGCATGTTGGAGTCAGCAACCTAGGTCTCACACGAGCAGTTAACCAAGAACATGTTCCATGAAACAACGGGCCTACCTTTTCCAACAAGTGCTTTGCTTGCTAACGGCAACCATTCGAAGAGACATGACGCGCAAGCATTTCTGACAGAACTAGCCCCCAGCCCCCGTCTGCAGGTCATCCCAGACTTGGTCAGCGAGAATCTCAGCTTGGGCCACCCATCAAACACCACAAACACACATGCCCTGGCTGGAATCATCACACATGATGCACTTTTGATTAATCGCTTCAGCTGCCTCATGCTGCCTCAGAACTAAGGGATACAATGTCGCATGTCTTTGAACAACTGATGCATTTGAGTCGCGCGGAGTCATTCCCTCGCTTTCCCTTAAGGATGAGACGGAGCGCCTTCTTAGAATGAAATGAAAGATGTTAAGGCATCAAAGACGTTTCAATCACGCTACAAAGCTTGCTTTGCCAGCTCAAGTCTCTGCTTTTTCCGCGTTTCAATCGAAACGGACACAAAGGCTGCGTGCTGCACACTGTTCCTCACACACACACACACACACGCATGATCAGAAACTGCTGACGGTACAGCGTGCATGAAGGCGTAGCACTTCAACATTCATTTGGGCAAAATAGTCGTCTAGTATTCAACTCAAGCAGGCTTGTGTCTTGTGCAAACAGCATGGCTGGTTGGGCAGGGTCTTTGCACAGCTACAAACATTTACATGTCTTGCGTGTCGATAGCCATGACGACTTGAGTCTCAGGGCCTCGGCTCCTTCCTTTGCATGCTGGACGCCATGGAATTCGTGGCCTACGCAGGTGTTTCTCGGTTGCCGCATTTGCCATGGTCGGTGCCACTCGCTGGCCCAACCCTTGTGATCTCTTCTTCTGACGAGCTTGGAGGGGCCTTGCTTGCGCTCATGGCCTTGGGCGTGACCTTTGCAGCTGTAGCAGTCAAGAGCAGGGCTCCTTTGGTTGGGCCCGCAGATCTCGGTGTTTCTGGGTCTCTGGTGGTCGCCGCAGTCTCCACTCCTTGCAGGATCTCGAGCCCCCGACTTGCACTCAGGTGGCCAGAGGCGACAAAGAGCGTTGGTGCGCTCAGTGGTCCCACAAGAAACCTTTCCCGGATATGCCTCCTCAGCACACTTTTGACGCGGCGCGTGTGTCTCAAACAGGGGATCAGTGGCAAGCTTTGATGAGCTTTGAGCTCACGCGCGTGCATTGGATGCCGAGCCCAAGCTTTCCAGCGAGGTTGCCGCTAGGTTCAGAGAAGATGGTTGTAGGTTCCCTCTACACACGTACGAGGAGTCTGTGCTTGTGTGGAAGGGCGGCTTGTGGAGGCAACCTGGGACACTTGAAAGAGCAGCGCTCATGGCCACATGTTGCAGGTTGTGCCCGCATCTGGCGCGGCTCGCTGTTCGCTCGTTGGGAGTTCTTTCCTGTGCCGTCGCTGATGCTCCTCCTGACGCTCGCGTGCCAGCTCCTGCCAGCGTGCCCGCTGCTTGGTGTGATCAGTTGGAGAGTCGCTTGCGGGGTTGTGTGCGCGGCGCTGTTTGGCAGCCAGGTGTGTCGGAGTCTTGGTCAGGCGTTTTGGGCGCGCAGGCTGTTGCGGAAAGTGTGTTAAACTGCTTTTCAGATCTCGGCCATTCCTTCCCGGACTTGCGCCCATCTCCACCAAGCGTGCCGTCGTTTCCGGCGCGCACGAATGATAACCGCTTTCGCTGCCTCTCCCCAACATGACTCCAAGCCCGGCGTGTCAGATGTTGGCTTGAGAGCCGGCTCCAGCTCCGGCTCCAGCTCCCTGAGCAAAGCTGGGGACTCTACCTGGCCCAACAAGACACACCCCGTCACAAAGCGGAGACCTAGGGTGAGGTCAGGCCACCTGAATAGAATGGCCAGCACGGACATGAAGGCGGGATAGCGCTGTTTTGCAACTTTAGCCACGTCAGCGCGCATTGCCCGCCGCAACACTAACTCCCGTGGCTGCAGCCAGCGGGCTAAGAGACACAGCGCGCCGCTGCTGCCTTCGCCATACACGCACGTGGGGGCCAAAGACAAACATAACTCTGACAGCAAAACTGGCGTCATCGTCTAAGAGAACCTCAGCGTCAAACGGGGATGGTAAGCAGGTGGTTGTGGGGTAAGCTAGCCTGGGCGGCCTCTGCTGTTTTCGGAGAGTGTGCGAGAGGCGGGCAGCGTGCGTTGATTCAGCGCCAGTATTCAGAATCAGCGAGCCTTACTGTTCTTCCGGGCATTGCTCGCTTCAGCGCAGCTTCCTCCTCCCGAACATAGTTCTCAGATTATGGATTTCTGCCAGGGCTTGGAGCAGTGATGTTGTGCACATCAGACGCAGCCCAACAAAACAGCCAGAGTACCTGTTGAGCTTTTGTCAGCCTTTGACGCTCGTGAAACGCAGATAGCTCCTAGAGGCTCTTGCAGTCTTGCAAGCCTGATTGCCTTCAGGGCTGGGATGTGGTCCTTTGAGTGGACCACTGCGATTTGCGGCGCCGAGTCAGATGTGTCTGACGGGCTCAGCCGAAACAGTTTTGGAACCTCTCGTTCCTGCTGTTCCTTTTCGCATTTGCTCCTGCGGCCCTGTTGCATTGGCGAAGAGTTGCATTGGGCTAGAAGACTGTGGTCTGAAGGCCTTGTGTATGCAGGCCACACTTTGCCAATCTCCAGCGCGCAGGCCTGCAACTTAAGAGAATCCAGCAGCAAAGCGAGAAAAAGGGACATTGAGCGAGCCTCAGCCCTGCGCGTGTGGAATATGCTTTGGGGTCTTTGCACAGACACGTCTTGCGTGTCGATAGCCATGACGGCTTGGTCTCAGCTCCATCCTTGCATTTCTCCCTGTTATGTACTTGAATAGTAGATATGTTGAGGGTGTACCCTCGGCATTCGTACCGCAAGCCCTTTCTGATGAGAAGCCCCAAACGCCACCTACAGCTCACTCGATTCTGATCGCTTCGAGTCTGACTGCGCGCGACTCCTGCGCGATTGACGCACCGAATGCAGCAAATGGCTGTGGGTCAAAACCCATGGGATCCCATTTGAGTGTAGGTGAATTTTTTCACCAATTTTAGAGCCTATTTTGGCGCATACGATTTGGTTTGTTTTGACCCATGGCCAAATGGCTGTTGCTCAATAAGCTCAGGCGATATCCCCAACAGCATGCTGGAACCCTGGTGGAACCCTGCTGGAACCCTGCTGCAACCCTGGTGGAACCGGAGCCTATCTGGGCTGAGACCCCAAAGCTTTCAGCTGTTGGGGAAAAAAGTGGTGCCCATTGTCTGGCCCCTATGGGAACAAACGCCAAAACTCGCGTAACCCCGGCTCTAGGTGAATTCACCACCCATTCTAGACTTTATTTTAGTGGTTGGATTGGGATTGACCCATGGCCAAATGGTTGTGGTTCAAAAAAGTGGTACCCATTGTGCGGCCCCGATGGAAACAAACACCAAATCCCGCGTAACCCCGGCTCTTTAATTTTAAGACCAAAAGGTATCCCATTTTGGCTGGTGAATTCA